ACGTGGGTGTACTTCGCAATATGAGATTGAGAACAGAATGCACGTGGGTGTACTTTCGCAATTGAGATTGAGACAGAATGCACATGGGTGTACTTCGCAATATGAGATTGAGAACAGAATGCACGTGGGTGTACTTCGCATATGAAGATGAGAACAGAATGCACGTGGGTGTACTCGCAATATGAGATTGAGAACAGAATGCACGTGGGTGTACAGAACAGAATGCACAGTGGGTGTACTTATGAGATTGAGAACAGAAATGCACGTGGGTGTACTTGCAAAGATTGAAGAACAAATGCACGTGGGTGTACTTGGCAATATGAGATTGAGAACAGAATGCACGTGGGTGTACTTCGCAATATGAGATTGAGAACAGAATGCACATGGGTGTACTTCGCAATATGAGATTGAGAACAGAATGCACGTGGGTGTCCTTCGCAATATGAGACTGAGAACAGAATGCACATGGGTGTACTTCGCAATATGAGATTGAGAACAGAATGCACGGGTGTCCTTCGCCAATATGAGATTGAGAACAGAATGCACATGGGTGTACTTCGCAATATGAATTTGAGAACAGAATGCAGCCAATATGAGATTGAGAACAGAATGCACATGGGTGTACTTCGCAATATGAGATTGAGACAGAATGCAGTGTAGCAATATGAGATTGAGAACAGAATGCACATGGGTGTACTTCGCAATATGAGATTGAGAACAGAATGCACGTGGGTGTACTTCGCAATATGAGATTGAGAACAGAATGCACGTGGGTGTACTTCGCAATATGAGATTGAGAACAGAAATGCACGGGGTGTACTTGCAATATGAGATGCACAACTTCGCAAAATGAGATTGAGAACAGAATGCACGTGGGTGTACTTGGCAATATGAGAACAGAATGCAACTGGCAATATGAGATTGAGAACAGAATGCACGTGGGTGTACTTCGCAATTTGAGATTGAGAACAGAATGCACATGGGTGTACTTATGAGATTGAGAACAGAATGCACGTGGGGTTGTACTTGGCAATATGTGGAGAACAGATGCACGTGGGTGTACTTCGCAATATGAGATTGAGAACAGAATGCACGTGGGTGTACTTGGCAATATGAGATTGAGAACAGAATGCACGTGGGTGTACTTGGCAATATGAGATTGAGAACAGAATGCACGTGGGTGTACTTCGCAATATGAGATTGAGGAACAGAATGCACATTGGGTGTACTTATGAGATTGAGAACAGAATGCACGTGGGTGTACTTGGCAATATGAGATTGAGAACAGAATGCACGTGGGTGTACTTCGCAGATGAGAACAGAATGCACGTGGGTGTACTTTGGCAATATGAGATTGAGAACAGAATGCACGTGGGTGTACTTGGCAATATGAGATGAGAACAAATGCACGTGGTGTACTGGCAATATGAGATTGAGAACAGAATGCGTGGAGTAGCAATATGAGAGAGAAACAGAATGCACGTGTGGGCAATATGAATTGAGAACAGAATGCACTGTACTTGGCAATATGAGATTGAGAACAGAATGCACGTGGGTGTACTTGGCAATATGAGATGGAGAAACAGAATGCACGTGGGTGTACTGGCAATATGAGATTGAGAAGAGAATGCACGTGGGTGTACTTCGAACAATGCAGTGGGTGTACTCGCAATATGAGATTGAGAACAGAATGCAAACTTGGCAATATGAGATTGAGAACAGAATGCACGTGGGTGTACAATATGGCAACTTATGAGATTGAGAACAGAATGCACGTGGGTGTACTTCGCAATATGAGATTGAGAACAGAATGCACGTGGGTGTACTTCGCAATATGAGATTGAGAACAGAATGCACGTGGGTGTACTTCGCAATATGAGATTGAGAACAGAATGCACGTGGGTTGTACAATATGAGATTGAGAACAGAATGCACGTGGGTGTACTTCGCAATATGAGATTGAGAACAGAATGCACCGGGTGCGCAATATGAGATTGAGAACAGAATGCCACGTACTTCGCAATATGAGATTGAGAACAGAATGCACGTGGGTGTACTTCGCAATATGAGATTGAGAACAGAATGCACGTGGGTGTATCGCAATTGAGATTGAGAACAGATGCACGGTGGGTGTACTTGCATATGAGATTGAGAACAGAATGCACGTGGGAACTTCGCAATATGAGATTGAGAACAGAATGCACGTGGTGTACTTCCGCAATATGAGATTGAGAACAGAATGCACGTGGGTGTACTTCGCAATATGAGATTGAGAACAGAATGCACGTGGGTGTACTTCGCAATGTGAGATTGAGAACAGAATGCTGGGTGTACTTCGCAATATGAGATTGAGAACAGAATGCACGTGGGTGTACTTCGCAATATGAGATTGAGAACAGAATGCACGTGGGTGTACTTCGCAATATGAGATTGAGAACAGAATGCACATGGGTGTACTTCGCAATATGAGATTGAGAACAGAATGCACGTGGGTGTACAATTGAGATTGAGAACAGAATGCACGTGGGTGTACTTCGCAATGTGAGATTGAGAACAGAATGCACGTGGGTGTACTTCGCAAAATGAGATTGAGAACAGAATGCACTTGGGTGTACTTCGCAAAATGAGATTGAGAACAGAATGCACATGGGTGTACTTGGCAATATGAGATTGAGAACAGAATGCACGTGGGTGTACTTCGCAATATGAGATTGAGAACAGAATGCACTTGTACTTCACAATATGAGATTGAGAACAGAATGCACTTGTACTTCGCAATATGAGATTGAGAACAGAATGCACGTGGGTGTACTTGGCAATATGAGATTGAGAACAGAATGCACTTGTACTTCGCAATATGAGATTGAGAACAGAATGCACGTGGGTGTACTTGGCAATATGAGATTGAGACAGAATGAGTACCAATGCACGTGGTGTAGCAATATTGGAACAGAATGCACTTGTACTTCACAATATGAGATTGAGAACAGAATGCACGTGGGTGTACAATATGAGATTGAGGGTGTAGATTGAGAACAGAATGCACACGCAATATGAGATTGAGAACAGAATGCAGTGTACTTCGCACAGAATGATGGTGTACTTCGCAATGTGAGATTGAGAACAGAATGCACGTGGGTGTACTCCGCAATATGAGATTGAGAACAGAATGCACGTGGGTGTACTTGGCAATATGAGATTGAACAGAATGACGTTGTACTTGGCGTGATGTACTTCGCAATATGAGATTGAGAACAGAATGCACGTGGGTGTACTTCGCAATATGAGATTGAGAACAGAATGCACGTGGGTGTACTTGGCAATATGAGATTGAGAAGAGAATGCACGTGGGTGTACTACGCAATATGAGATTGAGAACAGAATGCAATTTACAGGGTGTAAAAAGTGCAATCAAACACGTGCTCATACTGTGTATATACTTATGAATAGGTATCTAGATGTAAATAGATAAATATAGCCAGCCAGACAGTGAGCTAGATATATAAACATTGGGACAGATAAATAGATGTATAGATATACAGATAGATATAGATAAATGCAGGGCGAGGGAGGGAGGTGGATAGATGGATATACGAATAAAGATAGAGAGGTTGACAAACAGGAATATCCTGAAAATGAGTGAGAGAGAGAGAGAGAGAGAGAGAGAGAGAGAGAGAGAGAGAGAGAGAGAGAGAGAGAGAGAGAGAGAGAGAGAGAGAGAGAGAGAGAGAGAGAGAGAGAGAGAGAGAGAGAGAGAGAGAGAGAGAGAGAGAGAGAGAGAGAGAGAGAGAGAGAGAGAGAGAGAGGAGAGAGAGGAAGAGAGAGAGAGAGAGAGAGAGAGAGAGAGAGAGAGAGAGAGAGAGAGAGAGAGAGAGAGAGAGAGGAGAGAGAGGAGTTTTAATCCCATTTGTTACAATTGATATTCTTTGCTGTGACATACTGTCTGTTTTATTTTGCTTCCAAACCTCTCCCTGTGTTTAAAGATTGGCTTACACACAGGGGGTTCCCATCCACTGGGAGAGGAGAGAGAGAGAGAGAGAGAGAGAGAGAGAGACAGAGAGAGAGAGAGAGAGAGAGAGAGAGAGAGAGAGAGAGAGAGAGAGAGAGAGACGAGAGTGAGAGAGAGAGAGAGAGAGAGAGAGAGAGAGAGAGAGAGAGAGAGAGAGAGAGAGAGAGAGAGAGAGAGAGAGAGAGAGAGAGAGAGAGAGAGAGAGAGAGAGAGAGAGAGAGAGAGAGAGAGAGAGAGAAATATTAATAGCCAGTGAGAAAACCCAAGGGAGAAGTCCCACGGAGCGGTTTGGAAAGTAAAGTCGTTAGCGACAATTGTGAACATGACGTACAGCGCCATCTATCCGGTTTTGTCTCTCTTCGCACAAAGAGGTCAAAGGTCGGTCAACCAACGTATGGCGCTCGACCGACCAACTTTTATCGCGTCCATATTTTTTAGCAGACAGCAACGAGTTCTTGACCCTTCTCTTTCTTCTCTCTCTCTCTCTTTCTCTCTCTCTCTCTTCTCTCTCTCTCTCTTCTCTCTCTCCTCTCTCTCTCTCTCTCTCTCTCTCTCTCTCTCTCTCTCTCTCTCACTCTCTCTCACTCACTCACTCTCTCTCTCTCTTTCTCTGTCTCTCTCTCTTTCTCCTTTTCTCTCTCTCTCTCTCTCTCTCTCTCTCTCTCTCTCTCTCTCTCTCTCCTCTCTCTCTCTCTCTCTCCTCTCTCTCTCTCTCTCTCTCTCTCTCTCTCTCTCTCGCTTAATCTCTTCTCTAGAGGAGTCTTGAAAGGAGGAAGTGAAACGGGAAGTGGAGAAATGGCTTCCTTTTTTTCGTAAGCAGATCGATTGTCGTCTTTTATCGGCCCCGTAATCCGGTTATTGTGTTACACGTGATACAGTGAATTTTTTTTTTTGTCCTCTCCTTATATAATGCGATTTTTCCTAATAGAAGGTGAGCTATTAATTATGTTTTTGATAGTGGGAATTATGGTATGAATATTTAGATCCTTCGCTACATACTGGCAGTCTTTATATTTGTCACCTTGTTGCCATTCTGTAATTAGCAAATGGGAAAGCTTTGTTGTCCAGATAGTATATCTCTTTGGGAAGATATACCTTTGGGGAAGGTATAGAAAAGTCTCTCTCCCTCTCTCTTTCTCGCTTTCTCTCTCTCTGTCTCTCAATATATATATATATATATATATATATATATATATATATATATATATATATATATATATATATATATTATAGACATACACACTCTCTCTCTCTTTCTCTCTCTCTCCATGTCCTTCTCTCTCTTAATTCCTATCCCTCCCTGTTTCTTCATGCGTTACTCTCTCTCTCTCTCTCCCCCGCTCCCCCTCTCTCCTCTCTCTCCAGTTATGCCTGTTACTCTACCTACCCTTCTCCCCTCTCCTTTCCCCTCCCCATCCCCCAGGAAGAGACAGATCAAGGTACATATGGTCAGTGTCACAACAGTTGCCCAATTAAGTGTTATGATGACACTTCTGCTTCGTCAGCCAAGTTGGGGGTCATCGTTTAATTGTCATAGTCGCGTTGTTATTTAGTGTAGCTTAACTACTGTTATTCTGGGATCCTTTGTGCTTGTCTGTTACGAGGGATTATTTGTCTGTGTTGCCGTGTTGTGTGTTGTGTTTGTTTTTTCCTTGTGTTCTTTATGTTGTTGCTTATATTTTTGTCTTTTTGTTCTACTTTTCGATTTTTTTAGGGGTGTGTTTTTTTTTCTTTTCTTCGTTTGTGCTGAATTATTTTTGTGTGTGCTTGTTTCTTCTTCTCTTTTCTTTATCATTTCCTACTACTTCCTCTTCCTAATCCTTCTCTTTGCCTATTTCGTCTCTACTCTCCGTAAGCAAAAGACCTCTGCCTTAAATTCATCTTAAATAATAAGAATACTAAGAATGGGATTTGAAAGAAAAATAAGGATAAATAAAGGCGATAAAATAGGAAAAATCACATTCGATTTTAAAATCTGATGGGGAGTCCCTTTGAGCTCGAAACAGCACGCTTTAGAATTCCTTTCCTAGTGTGTTTATATTTTGTTTCATCTCCATTATTTTTTTCAACTTTTCATAATTTCTTTCTCGCTCTCACCGTTTATCTGTCTGTTTCCCTTGCCTGTCTTTCTGTCTCTATTCTGTCTCTCATTTCCTCTCCTTCTCTTCACTTGACATGTCTCTCTCGCTTCGTCTCACATTTCTCATTCTTTCTCCATTATATTTCTCTTTCATTCTTCATTTTATATTTCCTTCTTTTCCTTCGTTCTCAATTTCTCTCCCTTTCTTTCTATCAACATTTCTCTCTTTTTGTTCATTCTATATTCCTCTCCCTTTCTTTATTCTATATTTCTCCCTCATACATCCAAAACGGTGTCCTATTTCCAACAATTTGTGTATTGTGTGTGTGTGTTGTGTGTGTGTGTGTGTGTGTGTGTGTGGTGTGTGTGTGTGTGTGTGTGTGTGTGTGTGTGTGTGTGTGCATAATATGTATAAGTACTTGTACGAATGTATGTCAGGGATGTATATTCATATTGCATATTATTGTTGGAAATGTAAGCAAGGGCTATATGCATATATGTATTATAGTGTGACTACATCCATACATACATTATGAATGAACAGTTGCATGTGTGTATGAATGTTCGTATGCCTATATGCATATATAAATGTAGTGTATTTACTTCTGCATTTGTGTGTGTGTGTGTGTATGTGTGGGTGTGTGTGCGTGCGCGCATGTGTGTGTGTGTGCGTGCCTGCGTGTGTGTGTATATATATATCTAATATATATATATATTATATATAATATATATATATATATATATATATATATATATATATATATATGTATATGTATATACATGTATAATATATGTATATATATGTATATATACATATATATATATATATGTATATATATGTATATATATGTGTATATATATGCATATATATGCATACATACATATATACATATAATATATATATATATATATATATATATATATATATATATATATATACATACATATATATATATATATATATATATATATATATATATATATATATATATATATATATATATACATATATATGTATGTATGTATATATGTATACACATATTATGTGTGTGCACGTTAAAGGTTCTTCCGCGTGTTCACCATTTCCCTATCGAAAGGTACCGTAAATAAATCTAATAAGAAGGACAATTTATGCAAATAGAGGAATCAAAATAAGCATAAGTAAATATCTCCCGAAGAGAATAAGTTTCTACATTCAGTAAAAAAAAAAAAAAAAAAAAAAAAAAAAAAAACGCTAATGATATCCCTTATCAAAGGAATATCATGAGAGATATATATATATATATATATATATATATATATATATATATATATGTATATAATATATATATATAAATATATATATATATATATATATATATATATATATATATATATATATATATATATATATATATGTTTCCTTTCTAAA